GACGAGCTCCACTCGCTGGAACGACAGGCTGAAACGAACATGCAGAAAGGCGAAGAAGTGAAAAATTTAATCGCTCAACTCGAGCAAAGTATAGCCTCGTACAAGGAAGAATATGCTCAGCTAATTTCTCAAGCTCAAGCTATCAAAGCTGACTTGGAGAGCGTGCAAGCCAAAGTCGATCGTTCTATTGCTTTACTCAAATCCTTGGTAATCGAAAGGGAACGATGGGAAGCGACGAGCGAAACATTCAAGAGTCAAATGTCCACGATAATCGGAGACGTTCTCTTGTCGTCCGCCTTCCTGGCTTATGCTGGGTATTTCGACCAACACGTAAGCGATTAACAGTAATGAGTAACTATATATTTCTTTAAAGAGTAACGACATTCATACCTATCCTCTTTTTAACAGTACCGGCAAAATTTGTTTAGTACTTGGTGTGAACATCTACAACACGCTAATCTACAATTCCGACCTGATATAGCTAGAACGGAATATCTCTCTAATCCCGACGAGCGATTGAGGTGGCAAGCTAACGCGCTGCCAACAGACGATCTTTGCAATGAAAATGCCATCATGCTGAAACGCTTCAACAGATATCCGTTGATCATCGATCCATCTGGACAAGCAACTGAATTTATAATGAATGAATTCAAGGATCGAAAGATCACCAAGACGAGCTTCTTGGACGACTCGTTTAGGAAAAATCTTGAGAGCGCTCTTCGTTTTGGCAATCCTCTATTGGTGCAAGATGTCGAAAATTACGACCCGATATTAAATCCTGTACTCAACAGAGAATTAAGAAGGACAGGCGGACGTGTACTCATCACTCTTGGTGATCAGGATATCGATCTTTCGCCGTCTTTCGTGATTTTCTTGTCCACGAGAGACCCAACGGTGGAGTTCCCGCCGGATATCTGCTCTCGTGTCACCTTCGTTAACTTCACCGTTACTAGAAGCTCTCTACAGAGTCAGTGTTTGAATCAAGTCTTGAAAGCCGAGCGACCCGACATAGACGAAAAGAGATCCGATTTGTTGAAGTTGCAAGGTGAATTCCATTTGCGACTACGGCAGCTCGAGAAATCGTTACTTCAAGCACTGAACGACGCCAAGGGAAAGATTCTCGACGATGATTCTGTGATAACTACCCTCGAAACATTGAAACAAGAAGCTGCTGACATTAGCAAGAAGGTCGAGGAGACGGATAAAGTGATAGCAGAAATTGAAACGGTTTCTCAGCAATATATGCCTTTGTCTCAAGCCTGTTCAAACATGTACTTCACGATGGACAGTTTGAATCAAGTACACTTCTTATACCAGTATTCCCTGCAAATGTTTTTGGACGTTTTCACATCCGTTTTGTCTCAGAACCCAAGACTGACCAATATTACCGATTATACTCAGCGGTTGTCCGTTATTATCAGCGACTTATTCTCTGCCTGTTACGAGCGCGTTGGACGTGGAATGTTGCACACGGATAGATTAACATTCGCATTGTTATTGTGCAGAATACATTTGAAAGGAATCGCCACGGAATCCACGTACGACAGCGAATTCACGTTCTTCTTGCGAGGCAAAGAAGGCGTTCTAAATATTCGAGGACCTCTTGCACCTAATCTAAGCTCGGAGCAGCAGGAAGCCATGATGCGTTTGAGTCTCAGGTTGCCAGCTTTCAAGAAACTGTCCGTGAAGATTCAAGAGAACGCGGAGTTCAACGCGTGGTTGCAATCACCGACCCCAGAGACCTGTGTCCCGAAACTTTGGGACGAAGAGAAGCCACTGACTCCTATAGGAACGTCTATGCACCAGTTGTTAGTGATTCAAGCCTTCAGACCTGATCGCGTAATAGCCGCTGCGACTCTGGTCGTAACATCTGCTTTGGGAGAATCCTTCATGGCCGCCGCAGAAGCTGAACTCGATTTTGCTTCGGTTGTGGAGAATGAACTTAAAGCCACAGTTCCTGCTTTGCTATGCTCGGTGCCTGGTTTCGACGCCTCTGGTAGGGTTGATGATCTGGCTGCTGAGTCTGGCAAACAGATAGCCAGCATTGCTATAGGATCTTCGGAAGGATTCAATCAAGCCGACAGAGCGATAAACATGGCTGTTAAAGCTGGTAGATGGGTATTATTGAAGAACGTTCACTTAGCCCCACAATGGTTGGTGCAACTCGAAAAGAAATTGCATAGTCTGCAACCACACGCCAGCTTCAGACTGTTCTTGACCATGGAGATCAATCCTAAAGTACCTGTGAATCTGCTCAGAGCTGGTAGAATATTCGTCTTCGAGCCACCACCTGGCATCAGAGCAAATCTGCTACGAACGTTCAGCACTATACCCGCGTCGAGAATGATGAAAGCACCCAACGAAAGAGCTCGTCTCTATTTCTTGTTAGCGTGGTTCCACGCCATCGTTCAAGAACGTCTTCGTTACGCACCATTAGGATGGGCCAAACATTACGAATTCAACGAAAGCGACTTAAGAGTAGCTTGCGATACTCTGGATACGTGGATAGAGACCACCGCCATGGGTAGAACTAACTTACCTCCGGAGAAAGTGCCTTGGGATGCTGTGGTGACGCTACTCTCTCAATGTATATACGGTGGAAAGATCGACAATGATTTCGACCAACGTCTGCTGACGTCGTTCCTTCGAAAACTCTTTACACCGAGGTCCTTCGAAGCAGACTTCGCGCTAGTTGCTAACATCGATGCATCTCAAGCAAGTCAAAGAAATATTACCATGCCTGATGGTACGAGGCGCGACCATTTCCTGAAGTGGATCGAATCGCTGTCCGATAGACAAACACCTTCCTGGCTCGGGCTACCCAACAACGCTGAGAAAGTACTGCTCACGACCAGAGGAACAGATTTGGTGTCGAAGTTGTTGAAGATGCAGCAATTGGAAGATGAAGATGAATTGGCGTATTCGAACGAGGAATCTTTGAACACGCCTAGAGAAGCGGAGGGTGACGGACGACCGTCGTGGATGAGAACGTTGCATAATTCGGCTTCCACGTGGTTACAGTTGCTTCCAAAGAATTTGCCAACTTTGAGGAGGACTGTAGAGAACATAAAGGATCCGCTTTACCGATACTTCGAGAGGGAAGTCAACAGTGGCGCTAAATTGCTCCAAGATGTGATTCACGATTTAGAGGATGTAGTCTTGATTTGTCAGGTATTCTTTCGATCCCTGCGATTCATATTAATTACGTGCATTTATAACTTACAAGGGAATATTCGCAGGGTAAGAAGAAGCAGACCAACTATCACAGGACCATGTTATCGGAGTTAGTGAAGGGCATTTTACCTGGTGGTTGGAGACGATATACCGTGCCTAGGGGTTGCACTGTAATACAGTGGATAACTGATTTTAGCCATAGGGTGTCACAGTTGCAGGAAGTTTCACGGCTAGTATCTCAAGGAGGGGCTAAAGAGATCAAGGTAGGAATTAAAAACAATAAAATGTTTCTTATTTTAATATTACATTCCTAACACTGCCTATTAAATTCTTACTATTTTCCCTCAGAGTTTTCCCGTTTGGCTTGGTGGATTGCTGAATCCTGAAGCGTACATTACGGCAACGAGACAATGTATAGCGCAAGCGAACAGTTGGTCACTCGAAGAACTTCAGTTGGATGTAACCATAGGAGATGGTGACAATATCGCAACCGACGACTGTTCGTTCGCTGTAACTGGCCTTAAGCTGCAAGGAGCACAATGCAAGGATAATCAGCTTTACTTGACTTCGACCATAATGACCGACTTACCAGTTACCATGTTGAGATGGATACGTTCTGCCACCGAGGAAGTTCGTAAGGGCAAACTGTCCTTACCAGTTTACCTGAACAGCACACGTACCGAGTTACTGTTTACCGTCGATTTAAACATTGCTCCTAGTCAAGATCCTCACAGTTTCTACGAGAGAGGAGTCGCCGTTCTTACATCCACAGCTTTGAATTAATATCTTTAAAACTAGTTAATTGTATCGCCTTCGAGAGCAAGTCTCTCGAACGGGGATCAATCCCGTATCAAAATTGGCGATACTTAAAATAACGTTAACGATAATATTACTTTGCAACGACTTAATTAACACTTATAATTCCGAGATGGACAAATGAACTCCTCGAAGCTACTACTCTCCGCATATAGTGTAAGATTTTATGGAGATATTTATTTATCTGTCCGTTTTCAATTATTTATGAGCTGACCATTTAAGGAATACTGAATTTTATTCGTTTAGAATAGTAACTTCTTCGAATCCTGGGCGACGCTCGCGTAACTTTGTATTGGATCTTCGAGGTGGAAACGTTTGTCCATTACTCCCGACGTAATAAATAAATATATCTATGGTAAAGAAATTATTTAACGCATCAAGAAGTTTTTTCTGCACATTCTGTAAACGTGTAATGAAACGAACTGTTCTATTCGACGATTAGCATAATCGAGGAAGATGCGAGACATCTGTCCGAAGGTCGTCGTTTCGATAACGAGGTTGTAATATACATAGTTTATTTAGTTTTGTATACGTTCGAAACTGAAAGACCGCTTTATGTAACAAAGTTACGTTGCGTTTGCTTAAGTGTAAGTACTAAGGTACTGTAGAATTTATATTATTTGAATGGCATCTAATAAATAACTTACTGTGCTATACATACCCTATACTCTTTTGTGTTCATATCAAAATGCTTTACATGATCACGGATGCGTTTGACGTAAGAATACATTATTTATGAACAGAATAAGTATACGATTAACACTCGAAATTAGTATACGGCGCCATCCGTGGCAAATGGCCCAAGTTTGTATCCAAATACTTCTTACTTTTTAACGCTAGATATCGCCACGATAAAAATTGGTATATTAAATTTGGCGACATCTAGCATCAACAGAAGGAACTATTTTTGTTACAAACTTGGGTGTTTTGCCACCGGTGGCGCCACTAATACCAAATCGCCATCTAGCGGCAGAAATGAGAACTATTTTCACTACAAACTTGAGCTGAAGGATCCTGACCGCAAAATGGCGATATCATTTGTTGGTCCATGAAACCCAAACAGGAGAGGCAAACTTGGGCGAACACTTTTATGAATGACATTAATTAAATAAATTTAGGCAAACATTGCATTTACTTTGTGCACTAGGTTTCGTAAATTACGTAAGAAGTTCTTATCTAACATCATAGTTACAATATTTTGTTTTGTTTTATAGGTTATGATAACATTGTTTAGCCTGTGATTGTTGTATACATTCATATTCATTTTTGTAGATCATCTCTAGTATAAGTAATCATTCGATATGTCGGATGACGAAGACTTAGTTTACGTCAAAAAGCAAAAGACTGTGCATTATGGATCATTGGAAGAAGCAGAACGTGCAAGGTTGGCTGCAGCAGCAGAATCTTCTGAAGAGGAGAAGGATTCTACAAATTTGGGGGATAGTCTCAATGCTGCTGCCACTTTGGGAAATGTACACATATCCAATGAGTATATGGAACTTGAAGATGAGATGTCCAAGGACAGGCAAGCTCTCTTAGAGGAGTTTGAACGCAGAAAAAAAGCTCGTCAAATTAATGTATCTACAGATGATTCAGAAGTAAAGAAAAATTTAAGACAATTAGGGGAACCTATTTGTCTGTTTGGTGAAGGACCTGCAGACAGACGAACAAGATTAAGAGAGTTATTAGCTAGTCTAGGGGAAGATGCAATTAAAAAGAAGCACGAAGAAGACGAGAAACCTTCTCATGCTGTTGAAAGGGATACAGAAGCAACATGGTATCACGAGGGACCAGAATCGCTACAGATTGCCCGTTCTTGGATTGCTAGTAAGCAAAGATATATTGCTAAAAAATTTTCTTACTTCAATTATATTAGTATTTAACATTACATTAAAATTTAATTTGTTTTACAGCGTATTCATTACCTAGGGCAAAGGCTAGATTGGATAAAGCAAGACAGGATTTGGAGTTACCAACGGCTACACGTACAGCACGTCGTCAAGAACTTTTGAAAAAATTGCAAGCGCTAACGATTTATTGTTCTCAAATTGGGGATACCAGACCAATTTCCTTCTGTCAATTCAGTCCAAACTCCAAGCTGTTCGCGACAGCTTCATGGTCAGGCTTGTGTAAAATATGGTCTGTACCCGACTGTACTTTGTTGCGAACACTTAAAGGGCATACTTGTAATGTTGGCTGCATTGTTTTTCATCCAAAAGCTACTATTACCGAGGAGGTGATAGGGGAGAAAGCAGGACAGACTTGCGTATTGGCGTCCTGTGCTGCGGACGGTACACGATAATTCCGTATTTATAACGGATAATTCGAATACAATACCAAATAAAATATTTGTACTTTGTATACAGGAACGGTAAAATTGTGGAGCGGAGGATCAGGTGAGGAACCACTCGCCGAAGTTGAAGGTCACGAGCCGCACAGAGTTTCAAGGTTGGCATTCCATCCATCCGGTCGATTCCTTGGAACGTGCTGTTACGATGCGTCTTGGAGGCTTTGGGACTTGGAACAGCAAGCAGAAGTTCTTCATCAAGAGGGTCATGCGAGGGCTGTGCATTGTATTAGGTAAGTATGAGACCGTTACAAAAGAAGAGACACCTTCAAATCAGTATGAATTTATAGCTTTCAGTGCGACGGTAGTGTAAGTGCTACAGGCGGCCACGACTCCTTTGGCAGAGTGTGGGATCTTCGTACAGGAAGATGTATTATGTTTATGGAAGGTCATTTAAAATCTATTTTTGGAATTGATTTCTCTCCTAACGGATTCCATATAGCCACAGCGAGCGAGGACAACACTTGCAAGATATGGGACTTGCGAAAAAGATCATGCGTATACACGATACCTGCGCACACGAATTTATTGTCCGACGTGAAGTATCAAAGGTTAGAGGGGCAGTACCTGGTCACGGCATCGTACGATAGTACTGCTAAAATCTGGTCGAACAAAACTTGGCAACCTCTGAAGACGCTACCCGGTCACGACGGCAAGGTCATGTGTGTTGATATTTCTCCCGACCATAAATTTATCGGGACTAGTTCTTATGACAGAACTTTCAAACTGTGGGCTCCCGAAAACATGTGAAATGACTCAAATAAAGCGTGGTGCATGATTCGAGGAACTTATCGAGTTCACCACTTGACAACGCTATTTCCGTGACTACAAGTGATAACTATACGTTCATTTTGTAACATAGAAAGAATGAATTGAGATATATCCTTTACTACCTGTCCCTTATTATGTTTTAATACATGACATAACATCTATTATATTATTATTCCTTTTAATTTATCGGCTAACTTTAGTTTTCGAATGTCTGGAATACTATCGTGCTTCCGATAAGAAATATTTGGTACTGATAACGTAGACAGAGATTTGTGGACTGCTGAACGCTACTATTTGTGAGAATTCCGTCACGTGTTTCATACAATCGTTAAAATTGGACTCTGTACTCCGTCAACTCCAAGCTCCACCATTCGAGTGTAATTCCATGTCATTTTCGATAAATCTGATTGCAAATAATTGCATATACGTTACATGGTTAAAGGTAGATGCTAGTATTTACTCGATCTGAGCGTATCGTATAGCCCTCGAATGATCATAAAATAAGCAGAAGTTTCCGAGTTGACGGTTCAACGGCGAATACCGAAAGGAATCGGACGGCTTAACTTCCAGAACAATCGGAGTAATTACGAAGAGGAGAGCCCCTCTCGTGCCTTCACTTTATTATCAAACTTCTTAGAAACTTTCAAGACAACCAGGTAGGTTCCTCTGCTGTGAACGTAAATTTCCTTTTATACTGACAATCAGTTTCAGAGGAGTGTCTCGTTAGTTTTCACTCGCGGGATTAGCCAAAGAATGAACATCGATCGAATCCTTTAATTTCTCTGCGATAAGAAACAGAAACGTAGAACAACAAGACCTTTTTTCTTTACAGAGTTTAATTAATTATAAATTGTACAGCTTCGACTTGTCCTAAAATCGGAATGTTATTTGTTGAAAGGTGATTCTAAGAATGTATTTCCCTAAATTTTTAAGCCGCAGCAGCTCTCTTATGAATAATACTTATTCTAAAGTGATGCAGATATATTTGCTGGACAAAACTGATCGCGTACGCCGAACAGAAAAATAATAAAAAATAAGTTAAACTTATTCGGTTTGTTTCAGCGGATCTCGGTATCGAGTAAAATGTTATTCGTACGGAGTAATCGGTAACCGATTAATCTGTAATCGTTACTCAATTCTGAGAGCCTGACGAGTATGCAATGAACCAGCAGCAATGATTTCGTGGTTGCGTACGAATGTACGGTCCACGCGACCGTATATGTAGCTATCCGATAAGGTTCTTAACGATCCGCGAGCATTTAGCGACGAGCGATTGAAGGGTGGAGAGAAATTTGTACGTTCGTCGCGGTTTAACGCGATTTCTCTCCGGCGGTACCCCTCGATGGAAAATACTCCGTGTCGCGGCGGCAAAGATTCCGACATCCTCTAAGTTGCTTGAGTTTACGAGATCGATTCATGCTGTTTCGTTAAGCGGCAAGGATTGATGGAGCCAAACTTTGCTGCCACCCTCGGCGAAGTCGGCAGCTGCGTGACCGTCACCTTGCAACACCCATTTCGTGGTCAGCAAACCGTCCACTCCGACCGGTCCGCGAGCGTGTATCCTTGCCGTGGAAATTCCGACCTTCGAAGAGAATTTTAGAATTTGATTACAAAAGACGTCCAAGTTTACCTGGAAATCGTAAGAATTTAACCGCTTACCTCCGCGCCAAGACCAAATCTGTATCCATCGGAGAACCGTGTACTGGCATTGTGAAACACGCATGCACTATCGACCTCTCTTTGGAAGTGGCTGGCTCTTTTGCTGTCTTCGGTAACGATCACATCGGTGTGCCCGCTGCCGTACTTGTGGATATGATTTATCGCGTCGTCCAGATCCGTTACAACCTCGATGGTGCACTCGAGGGAACTGTACTCCGTCTTGAGACTCTTCGCGGCCGGTGGACCGAACGTCAACAGCTGCCTTAGTTTTGGTCCGGAATGAATTTTTACCTAGAATTACGATGATTTGTCGTTAATGTTCCAAGCGTATACCGTCCTCCTTTAATATTCCTAATACACTCACCCCTTCTTTTTGTAGCATGTTGCAGACGTCGGTGAAGAAGCTATCCTTCATATGATCCTCGTGAATGAGGAGAGTCTCCATAGCGTTGCAAGCGGCAGGATAGTCACATTTCGAGTCTCTGACGATCCTCAAAGCCTTGGCCAAGTCCGCTTCTTTGTCCACGTAGACGTGACAGATGCCCTCCGCATGACCAAGCACCGGGATATGCTTCGATTGCTCCTGAATCGAACGAACGAGATCGGAACTGCCACGCGGGATGATGAGATCTATGTGTTTCTCCATCGACAGTAGATCGCCAACGTCTTCCCTTGTCGAGACGAGGGATATCGCGTTCGACGCACCGACGGTGTTGAGCGCCTCTTTCACGAGATCCATTAAATATCGATTGCTGTTGGCGGCTTCTTTCCCGCCCTTTAGAAGGAGACCGTTGGCACTGGACATCGCCAGCGCGGCCACTTGAGGCAAACTGTCGGGTCTCGATTCGAAAATCACCAACAACACGCCGATCGGTACCGTAATCTGTTTCAATTCGAGACCCTCCGCGAGCTTCGTTCTCCTGATCACGCGGCCCACGTTCGTCAAAGAGTCGTCTGCGATCTGTCGCAAGCCAGAGCTCAGGGACTTCAGTTTCGCGGGCGTCAAGGAAAGACGTGATAGAAGCGCCTTCGCCAGCCCACTTTTCTGCGCCTCTTCGAGGTCTTTCGCATTCGCCTCCAGAATTCCTGTCTGACGGGACTCCAAAAGGTCGGCCAACGCGTTAATACAATTTGCGCGCTCCTCTGGCCGAAGAGCCTGAAGAGCTCTGCTCCCGACGCGAGCTGGAAAACGTATCATACTTTTATTTCACCTCTTAAAAGAAGAGAAACACTTTATTTCAAGAGTTATTCCTGTTTCCAAGTATTGCGTACGCTTTATCCCTGGAAAATTGAGTTTCGTCTTCGAAGAATAGCGGTAATATATTAAATAAGCTCGAATGAAACCCACCGTTGATAATAACGATCCGTAGATGAAAAAGAAGAGTATTTTCTCCCGAGCTAAGAATACTCGACTACTTTTCTTCCCGCTTACGGACTCAATGGGGATGCCGCGAACTCGTTTGAATCGAAATACACTGTCGAATAATGCGATATTTTCTATATCTTGGAGAGCGGTACGTGTCGCGGATAATTGTACAATGACCGCGATACAGCAACCGCAAGCCGTTTCGTTTCTACCTTCGATAATCGATAACCTATATTGCTATGGTCGGTAGAACAAAATGACGCGAGTGACCGACCCCTCTACGAAAAAAATAACGCGTTTGACGCGACAATAGTGTTTGTCCCGACGATTCCTTTTTAAAAAGGTAACGCAAGGTAGCTGGAAGACACGGGGAGACGGTAATAGGTAGATGGTAATTGGTATATGGTAATAGGTACGTTCGATTTACCGTTTTCAGCAACGACCTCGATGGGTGTGCTGGACCCAGTCGTTTCGGTGAATAACGTGCCGATCTTCCTTCCGGAGAGGATGTGCTTTATAGCTTTCTCTTGGGTTCCGTTACAGATTACAACGGAGACACCCCGGTCGAGTGCCCACAGAGCGGCGTTGACCTTCGAATCCATGCCACCGGTGCCGACCTTCGACTTCTGTCCGTACTTGATGGTGCCCCTCAGATCGGAGCTGAAAGTGTGCAACATCTTCGCTCCGTCCAGCCAAGGGGGTAGGTTGTAGATCCCGTCCACATCGCTCATCAAGATTAACAGGTCGGCTTGGACCTCTGCCGCCAGCATAGCTGCCAACGAGTCGTTGTCCTTTATGGAAATACCTCGTCGACCTCCGCCACCGGCTACCTCTTCGTCGACGTGTGGCGGTGGCGAGACGGCGTCGTTCGTGTTGATGATGGGCACGATGTTCAGGCTGATCAACTCGCTCAAGGTACTGAACAAATTCTTGCGCGTCTCTTCGTTGTAGAAGTCGGGTTTCGTCACCAAAACTTGTGCCAACTTTACACCGTATTGAGCAAACATTGCATCGTACAGTGACATGAGGCCTGATTGACCAACCGCGGCTGCTGCTCTAGGTTCCAAAAGAGTGCCTGCGTGAAGATTAGACCAAAGTTACCGTACCACCCTCCTCCGCTGTATCGTGAAGCTGGATATGCGGTCAGTAGGTCACGTGGTACGTAATGCGTTGTTAAGCGAATGATTTTTGCTTCGTCTTTCGACCCTTTCTAGCACGTGTATCTAGTAGATCAACGAGTTCGAACTACGCGAATGCTCGAAAGAGTTGAAGCGAAGCGTTGAATAAGCATGAAACATGTACAATTTCGATATGGTTGTTCTTCCTTCGAATGGCGCTTAGATTTCGTTTGAATTCTCTCGTTATCGCTCCGAGGCGTCAGAAGAACGGAGAAGACGTCGACGACGATTACGTCGTGCAAATGTTTCCCAAAGGGTAATAAGAAACAGGACCGCGCTATTTTCACAACAATTTCTGTCTATCGTCGTTCGATTTCTACTTCCCGAAAGGAGAATTACCGCGAATGTTTTCTCGGGCAAATAGAATCTCGAGGGAATTGCTGGTAAAAGAATTGGGCGGCTCGTGGTTGTTGGTTTAACCTACATGGCAGGGCCGGACATTGTCAAGTTCCCGAGGAGTCCGTGGATAGCCGGAAGTACCTCGGGGACGTTCCGACGCTTCCCTCCTGAACATTTCAGTGTACAAAATACAAAACGTGACCGCAGTTAATGTTACGACCATTTGTGTATCGATCTTTTTTAGACGGCCACAACGCGAATTCGCGAGAAGGGGATGTTCTCTACTGGTCCAAATAATAGTAAAGCTAGGAAGGGACCTAGAGCGACCGTTGAGTTCTGCCAGCTCGAGGATATCGAGACAGTATCTTCCTCTATCTTTCATTTGCTTCTCAATGAATCTTTGGTATTATCGGTGACTTTTCTTTTCATCACGAATTTAATTAAAATGAGATTCACTTAATTTCTACGTAACTCTTTTGAGATAAATTGACGTAATTGTGCCCGGCTGGGAAGAAGCCGCGTGTTAAAATGAACAGAGATCGTACATTTTAATTCGGTGAATTTATACGGGGAAAGAATTTAATGGTTGTAACTTTCTCAATTACTCGGTTAATCGATTCATGGCGGACAATTTAAATATGGCCGAGAATTATTCTTCCTGTTTCGCGGGATCGCCGCCGTTCCCTGCGATGCGTAATTATGATTAATTAACGTAGACCAAGGTTCGGCAAGGATCTACGGAAATAATAAAAGAGAAAGGTACGCTCGGTTGGCAAATGGTAAATTTGAGTACGCTCATCATGCTCGAAGCTCATTACCGGGAAAGATATAAAGAAGATCATGAAGCGAGAGAATCCAACCATGGGGCTCGTGTATTTCAATTTGCAGTTAGCCGATGGTAGCCAAAAAAGTATGAAATTCGCGGTGAAATGAAAAAAGCTTCGAGATCCTCGAATATCCGGCTCGCGTTGTTGCGTTCTCACGGAACAAGGGAAGTTATCTACAAAGAACGTAATGTCATGTATAGTCCAGAACTACAATGTCTCGATCCGCTCGACATTCGCGTCGTTTTGAAATAGATTACTTGTGTCGAAAGAACAACTGTAATTATTCTGAAATTATTGCGCTTTTTAATTCGAGGCCATTCGAAGGTCAACGTATCGTTCTTCGCGCGATAACGTCCTAGTATAAGAATCGAGGAAATGTTGATGCCCTTGAAATCTCGTACGAATCCGAGCTTGAGAAATCGACAATCGTAGAAAGTCCAACGCTTGACCCGTGAAATTAATCATCGCTTCAAGAATTCATAATAACTCGATCGTTATATAATCCTGTTCTTCTTATTAAATAAATTTTGTTCACGAAACAAAATTCGCAAGTTTCGACAGGCTGTCGTACATTCCGAGTTTACGTTTAAACGTACAAACGCGTGGTTATTTCATTTCAAGGATATTAATGACACGCGTATTGAAAGGATATTAATGACACGAAGATGTATACATGGCCAAGATAAATACTCCCTGTAATTTTATCCTATTGTTTTCCAGAATTATACCTGCGTGTTCTCTGGTATGATCGGCTGGGCTCAATGTTTCCCTCATCGACAACGACATCAACAGTTCTTGGGTGAGTTTCTGTTTACCGAACGCGACCGCACCACTGGTGACCATAATACATTCGCGACCTTCGTTCTGGCATTCGGCTACCTGTTCGACGATGGATGCCAAACGACCCAACGCCAGTCCATGTTCGTCTTCCCTTGTGATAACAGCGCTGCCCAATTTCACGACCAAACGACGCGCATACTTCAGCTGGCTGCGATCGCTGAAAGTCGCCGCAGTTTTTCCAGGTCTTTCCGCCGCTTGCAGCTCTCTCCGTAAGTCCACTCGGTTTCCCTTAAAATAGCATCCAGTTAATCGAATAATAATTACCGTTGCGCCGCCAAAGACATACATTTTGGAAACTGTTTCATTGCACGAGTCGCGATAAACTTGGGTTCTTGGGCAACTGTCAACTCGGAGGCAGAATATAGGTCATTCGGACCATCGGTTGTCGCAGGCTTACTTCTAAGAATTCTAGGAAAAATATATTTACTTAATTTGATTCAAGAATGCGAAACGGAACCGTGAAAAAAAGATACTCTTTGACGTTCCACGCGCACTTGACCGATTTAATAGCTTGTCAAGCTTCTCTCGGAACTTTCTGCGACCAACGCAACGCGTATCTCAGACTTCTCGAGTCCTAAAACGTTATCTTCGTGCAATACTTTAATTAAGATTGAACAATTTCCGAAGACGAAATTTTACTCGATTGCCACTCGACACAGTTTCACGTGTACACGTGGATTTTCCTTCGGTACTCCATCGATTACATAAAAATACAGATCTGTTTACGTAGTCGGTATCAGCTTCAATGATAGCCGGAAGATTATTGCGCGTATCGAAGACAATAAGAATGAAACGAGTGGACAAATTTCTCTTCTTCGTTCGACGCTGTTTCCGTCGGTCTCCGTCGTATTGACATTATAACGCGATATCGGGAGTATTATCGTAATTAGAAAAAAAAAAAAGACACGCGCGGTTACTCGAACTTTTCTGGCAGCAAGAAACTTTAACGATTCTGCTTCGATGCAGATTCCAGTGGTTTTGTAAACGCGGAAATTGCCGATTGCGCGTCATAAATCATATCGCGCGGTTGTTATCTGCTTCTCGAGAAGTAGTTTGCTATATCGGTTCCTAATTGTAACGTGGAAGGGAAAACCATGCGATCGCGCACGCAACCGCGGCAGCTATTGCATCCTTCGGTGTTCGAATTCTCCTCGAACGGAACACCGAACGTTTTACCGATCGACGTTAACGAAAACGTGCTGGATAGTTTCGCGAAGTTTAAGAAAAATGCTCGTTGCTGCGTTTGTTTATCAGCCACGTGGTCGTACTGCAGCGACGATTGATAAAACTCAATCTTTATCTTTGTAGTATTCCTCGCGGGGCGACAAAGGTGTCAACGAAACGGCGCGTGATTCGTTCGTGCTCGTTTTCACGGAAAATAAACATGTATCGCGAATAGTCTTAATCATCGACGAAGATGTTTACGTTGCTTTATCGTAAATTCGACGATTGTTCTATTTCTAAGAGTTTACAAAACAGATACGGATTGCATTTGATATATATATATATATCGAGCTGTACTCGTTACATAAGGATATTTTGATACGCTACACGTAACGGTGACTTGTTTAAAATATGACAAACTTGAATACATTAGCTGCTTCAATTACGGAACACGCGATCCAATTAATATCTCTAAAACAACGACTATTATGCGAAATTTACGCGGCTGATACGAAATTGTGTTTCGTGGGATGCCATGTATTCGCGATAACGTCGCGTTACATTTGTCGCAGCGCAACCAATTAAACTGGCGATCCATGAAAACGAATGGTGGATTTTTGCATTTAAAAGCGCGTTTAATTCTCCCGATCTTGCATCCAATTAAAAAATTATCAAAGGGTCAGGGGAAAGGGCATATCAACGGGTGCGTTTTAACTCGTCGTTTGGCATACGGACGCAGAGAATAAAGATGCATCCGTTCCAGTAATTATCGCCATCCGTTTGGTTCAGCATCGAAAGAAGTTTTTATCGATGTTGAAATGTATTTATATATTTTTATCCCGTGAAAGTATTTATTTCACCGAATGATTAAATATCGAGCTTTATCGGCTCTTTTCGAATTGCAATTACGGCTCTCGAAGTTTATCATCTCGATCACCTTTGTCGGGCATCTTATTTTTATCCATCGTAATTCTTGCAAAGTAAAAATTAATTTCCGCGCTTGTTCGCGTCGTACAATTTCATCGCGAACGTTTAATTAATCTCATCGTCGGAAGACGCGAAAAGGCGTTCTTCGAGGGGCAACATTCGATTAAGAACACGAACTCGGCGAACACGTTAAAAATCGACTCGGCTACCCAATCATCGACCAAGAACGATCGATCGGTTCCACGATTTCGATGGAACGAGAGGCGAAAATGAGAGAAAATTGCACGTACCGGTTGCTCGGGAATCCTTAGGGGCGAGGAGGACGAAGCCAATCTTGCTGGAAAGCGTCCGAGCTTGGTAGATCTCAATAGCAACAGCGCCGAGTACATGGTTGCTGCTTATTCGACTTCTTTTCTCGAGTGCTCGGGCCACAACACAAATTACGGATTTTCCAAATCGAACCCGTGACGTTCCTTCTCGACGGCCGTGGAGCTTGTTTGAACGACGAGGAAGGTGCAGGCGGGTTTGAGTTAATTACCAGATTCGATGGGCGAGTTCTTCGCGGATTACGCCGCTGAAGGTTCACCGGTTATCGGGAGATGGAAGGATGATAAAGAAAGAGGAGCAAGAAAGTCGGGGATAAGACTGGATCGTAGGTGGACCTCGGTGCCGCGGCGTCGCGGTCGTCGTAGTGGTTCACGACATACTACTGCTTCACACTCGACGAAATCGTGGCAGAAAAATCGACGTTATCGTGTCAAGATTAGACGTCTATCCACGACGAAACATTTACCGTGGCGCGGGTGGGAGGAGATTCTCCTCGGGGAGTTTGACGTTTCGTACGACGATCGACCTTTCGCGGCGCGACAAAAATCGCCCGCGTTCCCCGTTGCCAGCCAAGGCCACGCAAAGTCCGTCTTCGCGTGCCCTGTTTGCAAAGAATTAGCGGTGCAGCGCGAGTCAGTGAACTTTGACCCGGGAATCGAGCAAACAGAATCGCTATCGCTTCGCGTTTGACTCATTCTTTTCTCCCCGTTTCTCGGTATGCGTGCGAGATAGATCTGCTAGCGATAAATTCTATCGTGTACGACGCGCGCGAGAGGCCTGTTGCGATACGAGTGTTTGTTTTTGCATATTTCGCGAACGGAAATATTTCGGTTCGACCGATCCATGTCGAATACCGGGCACAAAATAATGGCATTTTCGCGCGGCGAAGAATACGGGACCTGGTGTAACGTTAAGTTTTCCGAACAAGGAGGGAGAAATACAGCATTGTTTTTTTTTTTTTTTTTTTATTTATTTATTTAATGTCGCATCAGCATTTATGCCATTAGCCACCACTGTGGGTAAACATTTTCTTCATTACATTTTCTTTACATTCTATAAATTTCATATGTGAGTCATAAATAATTTACATAGATCATTACTTACATCTAATAATAAAAAAAAATTAGTTAATAATTTAGTTGTAGTGTCCTGTCTATATGTGGCCTATATTTCTTCTGCTAATCTTGTCCTTCGTAAATATGATACGATTTTTAGTATGTAACTCTTGTCGTTTAGTATTCTTATTTACGCATATATTGCGAAATAAATGCTGCGATCGTTACTTTACTAGGTAGGGCACCAAGGATAGGTCAAAAGAATTTTCTATCCTGATATGCAAACCATTCGAACAATAGTGCTCGTACTGTTCCCAGGGTTACGCCGAATTCCCGTATTGTTCCCAATTCACGAAAGACACAATTTTCCTTTTGCAGGATTTTTCTCTTACCCCCGTTCGTTGTTTACGTCTGGGTCTGAGTTAGGTCTGGGTCAGACCTGGATTGGTCCTACTTCTAAGACCTTGGATCAAGCTGAATCGTACACACGCGCGTATGTAGAACGCTGCTAAGAGACAAAGTGCTTCCGATAACGTCGGTATTTCTCGAGTACTCGGCGCAGTGTCGTTAGATAGTACGCAAAGCGCGGAGCCTTCGATTGTCGAGGGAAACACACGTCGAACACGAGAAAAAAATTACGCGTTACCTCGCGGCGCTTTGTCTTCGACGTGTCGGCGTCGTCCCACGTCTTCGGCTGGCTGTACGCCAAAGAGCAAACGGGAACGTCGAGCAGAACGCAACCCGTCGGAGTGTAGCGACCGTTTCCTTCTTTCGCGTTCGCTGTTAGGTGTACAGTCAGTTTTTTGGCAAATAACGAAACGCCTATCGGGCCGTGAGTTTCTCATCGCCGCCGGAATGAGAAGATGGCCATCCAACGTCGCGCGATTCGTTAATGGCCCTTTCAGCCGAACACTCGGTGGCTGTCGACCGGTTTTCGGGATCTATTCACACATTTTCCATCTTTGCAGCAGCAAACGAAAAACAAAAGACGAGAAATGTGTGAATGCGTCTTGAACGCCATTCCACGTTCGCCAGTCGTCAGTCGAAAGCCCTAACCGTGAAAGCCTCGCTTCTGAAATGCGGGTCACGGTAGGACGGTTACGCGTTCGGGTAACGCGAAGTATACCGTCGTTGGATGCACGGGGGTACGCGTTTCGTTCGCTGGTCCAGCTACCACCCAGTCATTTATTTAACCACTTTATTCGCCATATTAACAAGCAAATACAAATTTAAATGTACCGTATCGAAGCAAGGCGAAAGGTCGAGGTTCAACGGCTGCTTTACAACTTAATCTAACTTAAGTTATCGCGTAACTTGCGTTGAAATGTACGCGAGAAGAAAACGAGAACGTAATATCGCGGAGGTTGGAAAGGATGAAGCAACGAGCTGTCTGTTTAAAGGAAGCGCAGGAATCTTTGAAACGCGTATCGATTCGAACAGAACAGGCTAACGGAAACGTACGTTTCGGGTATGCCGAGGAAGCAGTGGTAGCCGAAAAGAAAGACAAGGGTCATAAATAACGAGTAACAAAAAGTTTTAATAATAAGAGCTCGGCAGGGAGTCAAGTAAAAACAGCATCGAGTGAAATCTCGTTAGAATAAACGGGGGTTTACGGTATTTGTGACTCGGTCGATCCCATCGTTACTGGCAACGCGGATTCGGCTGAAAATTTCATTCCGGATAAAAGTTCCCCGATCCGTTCGTGCTTTCGCGTTACGAATTGAATCTTTTTTGTTTTAGCAGGTTTTGAATATAAATTCGGAGCGGCAAAAACGCGTAGAATGGTTTATCGATATTCGTGGAAAACCTCGTACACGTAACACGCAGGATTTCCATGTGAAAATAAGTCTCGTATCAGAGACGCTATCGCAAATAGTATTCTTCGTTCGCAGGTGAGCTGAGAATTCTTTTGTGAAAAATGTGGCGCCGAAGGGTTTCGAACAGGGACGGAGCGAAAAGTCAAAGAAAGGGCGAAGGGTGGCTTCAATGGATAATCTCGGTGGTTTCGAATTACTATGTACACGAACATATTTATCGTAACGTTTCGTTGATATTATGTCGTCGATATTATGACAGATTTTCCATAACGATCGTGTTCTTTAATTTCCGCGTTACTGTATTTCGATCGCTATTCGGTCGTAAGAATCGCTTGGCTCCCTAAATCATGTCGACGCGAGTTGTTTATCATCCTCGCTGTCGGATCCATTGTTCCTAGTGGACTACTTATTCGTCATTGTGGACAACGATTTGACTCGATTGATTGCGCATGCATTTCGTGTCGGCCACGTCGATTGCGCGGAGATTTATTCGCTTTACGCTTTGCGCGCAAGGGTGGCCGTACGAAACGTGAAAAGCGAATTTAATTCGCAGGTCGGTAATTTCATTTGCAATCGATGATAAACTGACGCGACGTTAAATATTTACGTAAACGATTGACCGTCCACGGACACGCGTGTTACGTTCATTAATGCAACGGTAACGATAGAGTAGTCGGTAACAATAATAAATTCCCCGTTGCTTTGACTGGATAGATCAAATTCGAGCAGCTTCAAACATTATTCGATACCGTAAGAGTTTTTTTAAGAGAAACGTGTAAATTTAGGAGTCTTGAAAACAAATATTAACAAATATCTTTGCACGCCTATCGATTCGCGTGTTTACATATGAATAACGTTAAAGACTCGTTAAAAGTTTGAAGACCCATCAAGACTCGAAGATCGATCAACGCTTTCAAGACTTTCCACTACCGAATAATGTTCGAAGCGATTCGAAACTTTCAGGACTGCGAAGTTTCGAATCTCTCGCGAGACACAAATTCGAACGCCCATCGCTACTCGCGTGTCCTACGTAGCGGGGTGGACAGCTACGTGGGGAATACAGAGAGCGCGCGTTTAATTGCATTTCACTGAAAACATAATGCGAAGTAAACGCAACTATCGTGATTTATTTGCTATCTATCGGCCATAGGTATAACTATTATTACGTGACGGATGAATATTATCTGGTGCAATATTCAAAGCGTTTGTACTTTCCAGTGTCCATATTGTCCCGAATTCTATAGTTGGAACGCAGTTATAATTTCGCGGCACCTGTACAGATATCTTTTAAGATATTTTTTAAAGGCTAGCAGTTTCACCCTCCTTAAAAATCGTGATGTTTACCCTTTGGTCGATTGCCAAACATTGCCGACAAGCCCACTAGCGGATCGGGTCGGCACTTTGGCCGAAACGCCATATTCCGGCGCGTGTTCCTTTTGCTCGTCTCATGCTCCGTCGTTGTTTCCAAGCTCCTCAAAATGGGAAACCGATTCGACGCGAACGAATCCCCCGAGGGTTCGCGTCTCGACGAAGAGCTCCCGGAAATAGCGCGCGCTCGAAATATCGCGTCGATCATTGTACACGATCACGTACGGAACGTAAACGCCAAAAGGTAGTCGGGGAATGCTGGAAAAATGCGAGGGCGGAGGTGCACCGAGGGGCCCCTTTGTTCACCGTTTAAAACATAGTAATTCTTCCCGCAGCGGTGAAAAGTTTTGAAAGCTATTTAAACTTACCGGGGGCCGCTCGTTATTCGTCCGCCTTCCGTCAGTGGATTCACTTAAAATGAAGGAAATGTCGGCGTTGATAGGCAACGTGCGCCGCGATGCGTTTACTCGAGTTGCCGAGCGAGTCTCGGGCCAAAGTAAAAGTTGACGCAAGTACGTCGAATCCCGAGTATTGAAACAAAGGAAGAAGCGAAGAGTGCGATTACGCCAAGAAACCGCTTCGCTTTGTTTACGTACTTTTCAATGCGCGCGATAGCGGTTTATCGCGATTTCTATCTCGATCCGCATTGTTTTTGGTACTCGATGAGAAGACCCGGCCAAAATCGGGTCTGCTTACCGCGAACTTTCGCGGTACGAATACTACGTGGAACGATTACGGGCCGAGTAGCATATTCTCCGGATTCCCCGAGTAAGACCATTTCAATTTCCATTATACCGCCGTACAATTATCATCTCCTCTTAGCCAATGCGCCTGTACCTTGCATCGCGTAACGACAGTGGGGCAATATAATTTATTACTAAAGACATTTCCGAAGAATCGTCAACGAGAGCAATGCTTCCAGGGTTATAGCGACGTTCTCGTAAGAGAGCGGCGCAAGAAAATCGCGATACTTCAAGACCGGAACACGATCGATATAATCCTCGTTGTTGCGGTCAGCGAATTAAGGTCTGCACGGACAGTTCCATTCGCCGAAGAATTCTTTTTCGCGATCGTTTCTTTCGCGATTTCGAAAAACATCTTGTCAGCTATTCGCATCGAAGATTCTCTCGTTTGTTTTTACAGGTCATTATTTCCTACCGCGGCGTCTATCGTCGGCCACGGAAGATTCAAAAGGCGAAGCGTTCTTCTCGGTGAACTCTGGTCGCGATTATCCACCGAGAAAACCATCCGGTCTTTCGGGGGACTTGGAGCGCGGCGGGCAGACGTAGCAAAAGTTGCATTTCATAACCGACAGCGCGCGCATAATTGACGAAGGTAAAGAATGGTGGATCGTAGAAGCGGGAAAACAGAAGCGGTAAAACCGTGTCGAATCGTCGCGTATTCTAGTCCGCGACCGCCAGCGGCCAACAAAAGCCTCCGGAAATCCTTGCCGGAGACAGAAGCGCAGGCAAATAGAAGACTCATCGAATTAAACTTGGACGATGCCGGGGAGCGGGTCTGGCGAGGGGTGGGGGAGATTTCCCACGCATTTTAGTGATGGTAGTTCGACGTCGCGTGTCACGGGGAGACAAAAACGTAGCCCGTTCGCTGGAAACCGAGAAGAACGGACAAAGCTGGACGACGAGGCGAAACGAGGAACGCCGAAGGGAACGAAGACGTGGAGATAGACAACGAAGCGAGAAGGATATGGAGCGAGGTATACGGATAGAGATGAGTTAAAAAGGAAATACGGAAGCAGAGATGAAAGTAACGGGGAGCGAGGGAGAAAGGGAAACAGAAAGAGAGAACATACGTTTTTCAGAAAACGCCGCCCTCCGGATCACCCCCACCCCCATCCCCGTGGCCTCTTCCTTGTCCCCCGGCCCGTTTTTCCCAATTCTGACAGCTCTACGAGGAGAGTTTTGTTGGACAGGGGGATCCGCGCATGTGCCGCGGGGGTGGCAGAGCCTCGAGGACGTAACGGCGCCGTAGACAGCGGGTGGAAGCAGGAAAGAGTGCAAGCGGATGCTGGCCTGTGCAAGGAAGAAGGACGAGCGGCGCGGGGGATGATGGTGAGATACGTGTGAGAGTAGCCCGAAGAGTGGCGTCGGTAGTACGCGGGGTGGTGGCAGACCGTCGGGTAGGAAGGGGCGAGAGGCGACCGTTCACGTCTTTTCGACGTCGACGCAACCCTGTTGGCGCAGAATAGCTGCTCAGTGCTCGTCGAACGGCGCTGTGTTGCGACGGGACCATGCCGCCGCGCCCTGCACCACCGATCCACCGATCTCAGGTACGCGAGATTCATTATCATTCTCCGAGAAACCGTTTCCATTTACCGGCGCGTCCGCCGGCTGCTGGTTGTGTGATTCTCGCTCGTTGCCATCGCGTTCCTTCGCTGAAACGGAACGTGTCCTCGGACGGATAGATCGCGTCTCGCGAGATGAATCTCCGTCTCGTGGGGATCACCCTCTTCGCGATCGTCTACGATTTTGTGCGGTATCGTGCGATCGTTCGACGAATAAACGGACCCCTTAGTCGTGGCGACAGTGACAAGTTTCCCTCGATTTTTCACAGTTTGTCTCTTCCGATCGTATCCGATCTTTCATGATCTCGTGCGGTTTACGGCCAACATTCGACCAAGTACGTGACTCGGATCCCGAATAAATTTTCCAAGCTTCCCGGACCAAGCTAAATTGAGTGCCATGTATTTCGTTTTATCTACAGTGCAAAGAGAGTTTAAGAGTTGAAACTGTCCGTGAATGATTCGCCCCTCTGGTGCCGTCCTGAACGCTATCGGAGATACGAGGGAGTTTTCCGAGCAAACGTTCGATTGGTCTTTTACGAAAAATAACACAACGTACACGTGGGTAAACAAAATTACACGAGAAAGTCGAGAAATCGTTTTTACTATCTACGCTTCCACAATTGGGATACGATTCTCAAGTGCGATAGAGAAACGATCGAAGTGTGCCCTATAAAACTATCAAGGTCTTTCGCGAACTATTGGCAGTATTTGCTTTGGGACCGAGACTGTTGAGACGCCCCTTTAACCGATCATATTAAGACAAACCATTCCGAAAAAGTTGAATTCCATCGCGGTCACTCGTTTCTTCGTTGTTCTCAGATCTTTGCTGGGGGTGACGTGCAATCGTCGACCGGTTATCGATTAATTATAAAAAAAGAAAGAAAACGAACCGGGACTCGAGGGAGGAAGTTATTATCGTAGGAGCCAGATGCATCTTCGGTCGGTGCGTCCTCCTTTCTGCCGAAGCGGAACCGTCGTTTTATAGACTCCCTTCGATCGCGAGTCGCCGTCGAGTTTCTCAATCTCGTTCGATGTTGACGATCCGAAGAGCGCGTGATTTGTTAATGCGTCGAGGTTTTCCAACGAGATCTTGTCCGTTTCAAGCGTTATTCGCCTTCGGAGGGTCTTCGCGATGTCGCCAAGAGTGGGGTGGGGGGGGGTCGAGGGTCGAAGGTTGGGATACTTTTCGGTCGAGTGTACGAAGTGGGTCTTCGGGCAGTTTGCGATCTTCCCTTATCGTCGTATCGTTGGGGTGGTTTTCTGTGCGCGGTCCGGGACTACGTGTGAAATAATTAAGGTCGTTTAGTGTGTGTTCTGGGTCTGTGTCGAAGATCAAAGAAGCGCGAAAGGAATGAACGCCGGATTTCCAGCGGATACAGAGAGAGCTTTTGATGAACGCGCCGCACGCGCGAGAGACGGCTCGCCTCGCTTCCTTGCTAACCGATCTTCTCTTCGTTTGAAGATTTAAAGGTTGCTTGTTTAAACCTCGCTTCTGCGTGGTTAGCCGAGTCCCAAAGCAGATCCCGTTCAGGGGTTAAGCCACTAGGGAAACCAAAAATTAGCGAAAGCCTTTGAACTTTTTTGCGGATAAAGTGCACATCGGAATATTATTTCGTTTGAACGTTTGGATCGTTTGCGGTTACCTTTGATTTTACGTCGGGAAAAGGCAGACTCTTCGAAGACACGTTGGTCGAGTCTAGTCGACCTATACTTCGACAAGTAAAATTCATATAAATTCGATGATTCGAAGCTCTCGTGGTGATTTCTCTCGACTCCTTAATTACAGCGGCCCACGCGACAAACTCCGAGTACCTTTCGTTGAAAAGATATTTGTCTCCAATTCCTTTGCGAATGGTTGTATTATTTCCAATAGGGAACGAGTATTTTCTCCCTTCGGGTTGAGGAAACTCTGGTATAAAGGCAAAGTTAACAGTGAAACGAAGGGAACAGAACTCGTTGAAAAGTTGAAGTATTTATTCGATCGGTAGAGAGCATTGGTTCCATTCGATTGGTTCCAGAGGTACTATACAAAAACTTTCGTCTCCTTTGATTCGTGCAAGTTTCTAACGTAAATGTTTTATAGGTATTAAGTACAACTGGGAAAATATCCTTCGAAGGGGTAACTTGATCGTGAATTTGGCCTGGACGATTCGGAGCGTTTCGAACCAATCGAATTCGCGAACCGCTTAAAACTCGTTAAAGAACGCGGATCCATATTCACGACGAGTGCCGCTAGTACCAGTTCACTCGCATAAAGTAAACAGACCGTTTCGGTGAACGCAACGTTACAATAAAAACGATGCTACATAAAGGCATAAAGTGGCGTTATCGTCGGTAAAAATGACGGAAAAATAGATAAGGAAGTAGAACACCCGTGGTGTAGTCAGCGTTCCTGTAAACTATCCAACCTCGATCTCTACCGCTGTGACGTTCCAACCGCGAAGACTGCGGTATTACGGGATCTAGATTAACGGTATTGGAAGTAATTAGGCTGGTACGGATCGGGCACGATTCGCAATCGGAGCGGGAAATTTCGAAATAAATTTCTCTCGCGTTTTGTTTACCTCTTAGGTACGTGAATCGCGTTGCTTCGTTCGGAAGGAAACAGAAGGGATTGAATAAAACGAAGGGAAAATAAAGTAACAAATGTCCAGAAAACAACATCTTGCTGCTTTCCTTTTTTGCTTCGTTACGCTTCAGCAGCTATGGTACAGGAACTCGCGAGAGTATCTCGGGCGCAGCGCAGAATAGATATTTCATTGTTACGGCTCGGAATATTTTTCGCCGACAGGAAATAATGCTCGTCCCGTCTTGTCTCGTTAGGAGGATTCCTGTAGCTATTCTTGTATGTCACTCGCGCGCAGGCTTTATGCCGCGCGACCGGATTAATGGCACAGAAAGAGGAGATACTTTTCGGTTGGCCGGTCGGTCCTGTATTCCGCTTCGCGGCGAAACAAAGTTCAGTTGTGCGCTGTCGCTTCGTTAGGGGAGAAGCAGTTTTCAACCGATGCGAGACGTTTCCCCGGTTCGCGCATTTCGCTTTCAATTTCACCAGGCGGACAGGAATGCCGCGATATCGACGAAAGAACCGTCGCATTTCGTCTCCGATACTCTTTCGTGAATTCCCATCTCGCGAGCGTCGCCTCTATTTGCCTAGCACCCCGTCGTGTCATCCCGTTTCACGTCTCTTCGACTCTCGCCTGCACTTTTAAGTACACCTTATTTTAAATACCATCGTTCGCATTTCGTTTTGCGAGGATGAAAGAGTGAGACGCACGGGAGAAACATAATTATTTAGTTAAAGAATTTGATTAAACAGGACCGTTTGCGAACGGGTCAAACTAATTCCCCTAACCAGCGCGTCGTCTGCAATCTCCGTGGTATCCGGATTCGTGCATCCGCCGCGTTAGTATTTAATAAACATTGCTCCCGAGCGGCGGTTAAACTGCTAAAGTGGGATTTCACGATCTACGATAGGAAAGTTTCGATACCGTTTCTCGCCCGATACGCTTCGCGAATCTCTGAATGAATTTTTCTGTTTAACATGGCATGTCTCTTCCTCTCTCTTTCCCATCTCTCTCGATAAAATATTCTCCATCCCACGGGTTCAATCGTTCGAGGGAGGGTTTTGCAAGTGTTCGAGGTGTTGGTGAATTTTCGCTGTGCAGGGAGAGCGGCATAGGTTATTGATTATCGTGAACGGCTTTATAAATAACCGATCGTGTAGGAGCACCCGCCGGAGACGCGTAAATATCGCTAGCCGAGGCGATTCTTTAAAAATCGACCCGCGATGCTTCTCCAGCCTCCGCGTGTTGGCTCACGCGAGATGAGAAATCCGGTCGCGTTTGATCGATACCCTGGTAATTCGCCTCGAATTCTCATTTTCGTTCTATTATTCGCGGACGGTCGCGCGCGGATAGTCAGCTCGGACGGATGGTCGGTATTCGTGCGCGCGAAAGGGCTCTCAGTTTATATTGCTTGTTTGCGCAACGCCGTACCGCTACACCCGGAGAGAAAATCCCGGCGTTTGCACGGATCATTTTCCCCCCGGTCTGTAAACTTGGTCTTTCGGTTACCCGCACATCCACCGATATGAAATTTACTAACGTTTTCGTTTGGCGGAGTTTGCGCCATACTTTCGCGACTCTGAGAAATTGCCTTTTCGTTTTCCTTGTCGTTCAAACGATCGTCTCGAAGAGGAACTCGATGAATACCTGAGCAGAGCTTGCCCGCGAAAGGGAAAACATTTTTCAATCGACGATCGAAGCTTCGAACGCGTCCAAGTCGCGAACCGCTAGATATCTGGTGTTATTTACGTAACGAGACGCGCTCTGTTAAATGTCCCGAGAAAGAAGGACGTAAATAGTGTCGTGTTTTGCGTCGGTTAAAGTAGCTTTAATAAGGTGAGTGGCAACTGAAGTGTCTCATCGACTGCTGAGAGATCGTCGATTGTACTCCGGCGCAACCACTTCCGTACCATTGATTCTCATTCAGGCTCGTGTAAACAGCGCAAAATAAATACGTACAACGAATGGTTCGTTCGATCTAACGACCCTAACGAAATCGCGAACGTGCTTGGCCACGATTCAGATTCACAAAAGACGAATCAGAATTAATATTTTCTTGTTAGGCTCCTCGGTGGGAGGACAGCGAACGTAACTCAGGCTGTAAATATTTGTTCTCTCGAACGAAACGCGTCTTTATTCGTCTTTTCCTCGTTCCCTTTGTCTTCCTTCGGGCAAGTTTGCCGAAGTATCTCGAGCTGAATCGTTGCGTCCGTCCAAAGAAACGAGACTAATTTCGTTTACCGCGAATTACTTTTGAGATCGTTTCATCGTTCGGATTATCCGGGAATTGATTTAAGAAAAAGGAATCGTAAAACGGTCAAGTACAAAGACTGCCTTCGAAAGGAAACGCTACATTGTTATTTAAACAATCGTTACGGTTAAAGCGGTATACCGAATAAGCAAAAGATTTAAATGGAGAGGTAAGTGTGGTAGAACGTTAATTATCGGAAGCGTCGATTGCACGGAAATTGATTCCGCCGACTATCGGTTACGGGACCACGTAATTGTAAAAAATGTTATGTTGCGTATTATTTACATTCTACCGTGTCGATCGATCTCGGTGCTTTGAGAGTAGATTTCAAACAAAAGGTCAATTCGTTGTTGCCGAATGGTGACTCCATTCTTCTCGATTCGTTGGCAGTGTCGGGTATGCAAACGATGGCTGACGCAGCCCTCCCTAACTCAACAAGCGGTCGCATAAATTTCACGTAACGGCAGGCAATTACAGGGTAATAGTGCTTTCGCACCTACCCTCTCTGCGATCTTCCCTGTGGACAAGCCATAAAAGTGAAACACGTGATTACACGGTTAAGGAACTTTAGTCCCAGAAATTAAATGACGCTTTAATTTTTCCACGCAACGATTTAGGATCGCGAATTAGGATCGACTCGATCGTTCACTTCGTCCTCTTGGGCGAGCGATCGAGGCGGAAGCTGCGCTCCCTGTTCCTCGGTTTTAAACGGTCCATTTTTCGGAGATTGAACGTCTGCT